GACTAGTTTCCTTTGGAAGAGATGTGCTTCTTTGCATCAAAACTGGAATGCACTGCTGCTGCTTTTTCTCACTTGTAGAGTTACCTTTGCAGGAGTGGGGATAAAGAGGGCCGTTTGATTGGCAAGTCTGAGAAGCTGAGCTGTGGTTGAGTGATCTCCAGTCTGCATCAGTACAAAAGGCTGCCCAGTCTTTCCTCTTCATTCTCTGCATGGCTTTGCCTTGGAATGAAGTAGCAAAGGAGGAAGACGTGGCCACAGAGCTTGCTTTGAAAGCAGTGGCATTGAAAAAGGAAATCAGTCTTCCCCTTTTCTCTGTTTTCCCCCTTTCTCCACCTAATCAACCTGATTGAAACCAAGCTGTGAATTAAGCATAAGTGCCTTCTTTTGTACTTCAAGCTGTCCATTTGTTCCCTTTAAAACCTGCAGAGACACTGCGGGGAGGGGGAAATTTGAAATTCCATTTTTGCCTCTAAAGTAGAGGAGAGATGATTTGCAAACATGTCCATCCCCTGTGAGATGTTTGCCCCTTTTAATGACTTTTCAGGAGAGGGGCAGTGAAAAGGGGCATGCGTTTTCATAATGCAGTATCTGCATTCTTCCTTGTGATATCTATCCAGAGATCAAGCAGCATTTCCTGTCCTTACTTTGACTGGCTTTGTAATATTGTTGTCTTGCTGTGAATGCTATTATCTAGTTAATGGCAAAAGCCATTGACCTTCCTGGTCTTTCAAGAGATTCTTTTAGCGATGACTCTCAGCTTGCTTAGTGGTTACTGCTGATAAAGCTTTGGTGAGGGCAGCTAAAGCTTCAGAGCCAGTGTGCGCTTCAGTGTGTGAGTTCTGGAAGTTCTGTGTCCTTTTCAGCAGGTACTTCCAACTTCTTTTGGACCTAGTCTTCAGGATTACTTTTGTTCCATGACCATTGTTCTGATGCTGGTTTTTGATGCTCTGTAGTTCTTTGGTAGCTTGATTATTTTACTTGGTATGGTTAATTTGTCATAGTGTACCCTGTAAGAATCTAGGCTTTGAGAATCCTTTTGCTTGAAAAGCAAACTATAAAATGCTAAATAAATATAGAAATACATTTGAATGGATGTTCTGATGAGAACATTGTGGTCTCTTTGAAAACGCGTCTGTATGCGCGCACACGCAAAAAATGTTAATCTTTCTGCAATACATGAAAAGCAGTCCCATTTTAATGAAACACCATAGGTGACCATACATGGTCATATTTAAGGTGTTGATGATGACTTATAAAGCCCTAAACCGTTTAGGACCTGGGTATCAGAAGGAGTGTCCTTTCCATATATACCTGCGGGCCCCTGAAGATCTGGGTTGGAGGTCCCTCTTTGAGAGCCCTCTTTGAAAGAGATCAGGAGAGTGGCTACCCGGAGAAGGGCCTTCCCTGTGGTGGTCCCCTGGCTTTGGAACTTGCTCCCCAGAGAGGTGTGCCTAGTGCTGACCCTTTATTCATTTGGGCTGCAGGCCAACACCTTTTTATTTTCCCAATATTTAAGATCTGTCATTGTTTTAAAAATGGGTTTTAATTTGTTATTTGTTCTTGATGCTGTCCTTTATTCTTGTACCACTGTCCTGAGACCCCAGTGAAGGACAGGATAGAAATGCTTTTACTAAAATAAATATTCACAGATATAGGAGGCAACTTTTTCTCATTGCATCCATGTATTGAGTGTAACAATGGCACAGAGTGCCTTCTACCAGCTTTGGCTGGTGGCCAAGCCATGCCTCTATCTGGATAACTTGGTTGCAGCAATCTGTGCTTTGGTAATTTCTTAAATAGATTGTTGCAATGTGGGGGTGCCCTTGAAGACTGTACAGAAGTTGCAGCTTGTGCAAAATGCAGCAGCTATATTAATAACAGCAACCGGAAGGTTCAAACATGTAACACCACAATTCTAGCTGGCTTGTACTGGCTGCATCTATTCTTCCAAGCCCTGTCCAATAGCCTGATCTGGGTTAGGACCCCAATACCGAATAGAATACCGCTACCAAATGCCATCTATCCAGATGCTGTGATCAGGCCAGCTCTGAGGGTGTCTTGGTCAGTGGCAAAAAGGAGAAGGGTCTTCTCAAAGACAGACACCTAGTTATGGAACTAGCTTCTCACTGAATGCCAACTTTAATATCTTTTCAGCTCTAGGTTCCTCTCTAACAGGGCATTTAATTATTTTTATATTTTCAGCAGGGGTACCATGTCAACAGCTTAGCAGGTCTTGTGATTTCCTTTGTGTAAATTTTTGTCATTTTAAAAATTTGGTTTCAAATTGGCTTGTACTTTTTATACTGTAATTTGTATTGTTATCTGTATTTTGTATTGCATTTTACCATATTTTTATGCCACTGTAAACTGGCCAGAGAACTTAGGTTATTGTGCACTAGAGAAACATAAGGAATAATAATAATTTATATCGTGTTGCATTTTCTGAGATCTGATATGTCCAACGGTGGCTGGTGCTGCTAGAGCTGATGGGAAGGAGGAACAGGGAAGCCCATAGATCTCATTGTCTTCCCATCTCTTTCCCTTGCAAAGATCCCGGGGACCCTAAAGCAATGCCTGAAGCAAGGCACAGCCTGTGACTGCATTGAAGAACTGGGTCTTTCCCAGGTTCTGAGGTGCCGGGTACTATCCCACTTGGTTCTGTGCTGGGTGAAAAGTGTGTGGCCCCTATCATACATAGCTGCTACCGCAATCGTCCAGTTAGGTACATCACTCCTTGAACAAGGGGTCTGGTCCTGTAGCTTTCAGCAGTGTGTGGGGTGTTTGGTGTTTGCAACATACTTTGTCACAATGCTGAGCCTTGAAAATGCTGTTTGGGGCAGGTCCTGGGATTGCAGGTGGGTGACAGATGCACAACACCACACAAAGTGGTCTTTTCACCCCACTATCCTCTTCCCCTGTATGAGAACCACTGCACAGAAAGGGCAAACTGAGTCACCTTAACTTACAGGTAATCAGAACTGCATAGCAAAGGGTTGCAGGTGGGGGAGATACACACAGCCATGCACAAAGCATGCCTTTTCTCATGCTTCTGCTCCATCAGACAGTCCCATTGCACAGAAAGGAGAAACTGAGGCAAGGAACTTCAACACGAGCATGCACAGTATGTGGAAGAGTGATCTACGTGGCTGCAGCCATACAAAAGCTCTTCTTTGAACCCGTATCTTCTCTCCAGTAGCAACATCATTGCACAGAAAAGAAAAGACACACTGAAGGAAACAACATGGGAGATAATGGAAATACTGATAAGCACACCAGCCTTCTCTGCTCCCTGCCCCAATATCTCTTGCTTCCTCACGTAAGGAAGCCTGCACACCAAGTACCTACAGCACATGATCCTTCATCAGCAAACAGGAGCAGCAAGAGAGCAGAATTAAATGCATTGGTTGGAAAAGCAGTTAATTTGCTGGGGGGGAACAACTGGCTAATTTGCACATAGTGACTGGTTGTAGCTGATAAAATTTAACATTTTTTGGGAAAGGATTTATACAGCTATTTGTTCATGAAGGCCTCTAGATAAGAAACTTTGGCATGCTTTGAGGATACATTTTGGCATGTCTGCTTCCATCAGGAATGTTCTTGGCCCTCTCCATAGATATGTGGTAAGTGAAGGAAAAAGAGATTGCTCTAGGGACAGAAACGCTACATTCATGCCAGTCCTCCTTCAGGCTTAGAGGCTGCGATTCTTTTTTTTTTTTTATCATGATTCTGATTATTCCATCTCAGTCTGTTTATTCCATCTCAAATTAATTTTGTAGAACTGAAAAAGTATAGAAAAGGATGAGTAAAATAAGGTTTTCCTGACGAGAGAATTTGATTTTTTAATTTTAAAAGATAGATGGCTGAAAGAAAACATGTAGGGTTTTACATGGCATACAGACAAATATATTTTCTTGCAAAATATTAAACTTAGGGTCCTCTCATTGGATTGTTTATTCTTGATTTCTATTTCCTTTTTTATTTAATTTACAAAATATACAAATACAGACACATTATTAATATCCACAATAATACAATTAATATAACCAGTTGTTAATTATCCTGTCTCTGTGCTATTGAACCAACTAGAACAGAGGTTATTTGTGATTTCAAGACAAGCAAAGAGAATTACTTGTTCACTTGAAATACTCTTAAGCTGATGAGATTCCCGGCTACAAGGTGAGGGCACAGTATTATGGATGTAAATTTTCAAAAGGATTATACAACTCCCTGATGAATGCAGATCTATAGTATATAGTTTGTAAGTTCTATCTCCTGCATCCCCTAGTAGTTTAAAATACTCCAAATAATAGGTATGATATAAAGGAATTTTTTACTTCTTGACTTAACAGTATCTCCAGCATGCCTGGCACTTATTTTGGTGCTTTTAAAATGGGAAATATATTCATTCAAAACTGAACATCTGAAAGCAAGAAAAAGTCTGGATTTTTGTTCTCTTCTGAAGTGCATGAAAAATATTACTCATGAACTCCACATGCCCACTTCACTCTTCTGCAGTCTTTTAGTTTAGTTTTCTATATTTGATTTTAGAAGTAAAATTTTAACTCCCAGTGGCCCAGGGATAACTTTATATCAAATACATACTAAAAGACCTCCTAAGTTAGACATCCCAACATGATTTTAAGGTTTCTTTTGTTTTTGTGTAAGGGTTTCCATAGTTATTTCATATTTGGATTTTAGAAGCATAAAATAATAATATCGCACAATTAAATATTAGATGTGTTTTGGCATTCATTGTATTCATGCAAGAAATGAAATGCCAAGTCTGTCAGTGGCTTAGAAGAATTACAAGGTTTAGCTGGGAGTCTATTCAAGATGTGATTGTTATGTGTTACTCATAACTGTTACAAAAAAAATGCCTCTTTATTGTTTGTTAATGACAATACATTGTAGGAACTCTCTAAACAAATCTGTAAACTGCATACAAAGGGGGAAATGCATGTTCTCACACCCTTTTTCTCTCTTCCTCTCTGTTATGACAGACTGTACAACTGAAGTCTTCACAAACATCTATGTGACCAGTTTTGGACCAGTATCAGATACAGACATGGTGAGTTCCCAGTCTGAAATAATTTCTGACATGTGCAATTTAGATTACAGTATCCATTTTTATTTCAGGCATCTATACAGCCACTCTCCCATAATCTATCCATTATTTACTGTTAGTGAACGGGCCTAGCACTTCATGGGTTGCAATAGGGTTGATGTGATGCAGTGCATCCTTAGACATGATCCATGTGCCCCTCAGATTAATTTCCCTTCAAAGTGTATCAACCATGTTAGGGCAGCCTGCCACCTAGTGACTGAAGATGGTGCTGCAGACTCAGAAAAAAATAATGCATTAAAAAATAACCCAGTCCCAGCATCTCTTTGCATGCATGTCAGGTTTCAAATGTCTAGGTTTATTTATTTATTTTTTCGATTTGTGTCCTGCCTTTTTCCTACAAAGGGCTCAAGGCAGCTTACATCATTCTCCTCCTCCATCTTACCCCACAACAAGAACCCTGTGAGGTAGGTTGGGCTGAGAGTCTGTGACTGGCCCAAAGTCACCCAGATGGCTCCATGGCTGAGTGGGGACTAGAACCGAGGTTGTCTGAGTCCCAGTCCCATGCTCTTAACCACTACACCACACTGGCTCTCACAGGTTTCATGTTGTTACTGCCTTGGTGCTGACAGGTCAGCATCATACATCTTCCTGTATTATTATAGATGAGAATTTGTGTTCCTCTCTGTTTTACCCAATCATAAAAATCAAGATATTCAAACTTCTAGATTTTTTTCTTGAATGCTAGGATATAACATGAATTTTAAGATGAAAGTATTTATTTTGCATGATAAACATTGTTGAAAATATATACCCCCAACCTATTTCACAGACATTTCCTAAGGCATCAGTATCCTAAATTGTCTTGCTTTTGTGTCAATGAAACCTGGCCATGACCACAAAGGGCACAGCTGAGAGAGAGAATGGCAGCATGAGAGTGGGATCATTCCTTGATTTACCTCGATGATGACCAGGCCTTACCAAGACATGACCATGAAATCTGGCCATCAGAGACATCAATTCTATGGTATCCAGGACTGGCCAGCTGCTGCTCAAATCAGCAGGTTTAAAGTGGATGAGCCCTGAAGGAAAGGCCCTGGGCCTGGATATGGAATAGGAAGGTCTGAGATGAAGCATGTGTGTAGACAGGCTCCTACACTGCTCTTCTCTGCCTGGAGATGCTGGTCGGTCTGATCCCAGAATTTTGTGAGTTGAAAATGGGGGGGGAGGGTACAAAGGAAAGGGAAAATGGGAGAAGGCAGATAAGGAAAGGAAGACGTCAGAGAGAAGGCTGGGAAATGAAAGAGGTGGTCACTTGAAAGAATGTGTATGTCAGAACTGGCAGATAGAGATAGAGGGTCCAGCCTGTGGATCTAGATGCAATTTGGAAGATGCTTTGGGTGGCTTGGAGTTACCATCTCAAAATCTCTATGCTTAAAAACCACCAGGCACCTTGCTGAAAATAGAGCTATTAGTCTGGGAACCAACACATACATTCAGGTTCTGTTTGATTAAAGATGACCTAAAGAAGCTGTAAAGGGGCTTTACTGATACGGAACGTATGTGCTTGAATGGGTGAGTTCATTGAACAAGGGGGAAAGAGAAATTAATGCAATTCCTGCAAGATTCTCTCAAGCGACAGATTAGTAATGGTCCTTTGCCTTTCTAGAAAGCAGATGAGACAGTAAGGTAATATTATGTGGAATAGACATTCAGTGTCCTTGCTTCATTTCCTTACAAGTGAAATTGAACATGCTGTTTTACTGTACCAAGGGCCAAGTATGAGTCCAAGATGCCGAAGTAGCACTTTCAGCTGTATTTCTTTCAACCTTGGAGAGCAAAACTCAAGCCTGATCCGGTGTCACACTTCCAGGGTTATATCCAATATTAGCATAAGTTAAACCTCATTGATTTCAGTGGGTCTATTCTATTGTTGGATACAACCCACAGAATCTAGTTATAGCAGCGTATTCTGTCAGCACAGCTAAAGACTGGAGACCTTGGGAGCAGCAGAGGACATGCTCTTTAAGTAATCCACAACCTGGCAGCTTGAATAGGTTGCCATCCCAGAGTCCATGAAGCCTTGATGGGGCTCATATGCAAGCTAAAGTTGATATGCTGAGAATGAGTTGATAGGCAGAAACTTGAATAGTATACTTGATCAGCACATGAACAGGCCATTATTGGCTGGAAGAAAGTATTTAGAATTGTAATTCACATCTTATCTTGACAGTCTTTGATGTAAGGTTGGACCTCTTCTCTTGGTTAACTCAACATGGGAACTTTACCAAGAAAGAGTAATGGATTTATAAAGCAGCTTGCCAGGATTAGAACAAAAACAGGCATGTTACTGGGGCAACTGGCTCTCTGGCAGGAAACAGTCTCATTAATCTGTTGACTGGGAAGTTTCATAACGTGATGAATGTGGCCTTTTCAATCAAGCAATTCCCACATTTACCATCTTTTGAAGAATGGCTGGATGCTCTGCTGACTTTGCTATTTCAGTCATGTGATATGCAAGGGGAGTGATGTGACCCTCATTTTCAGGTTTATGTTTAGAGTAACTGCATTTTCAGCTTCATTCACTTCATTATTTATTTTTAAACTGCTCAAAGATTTGCACATTAGGAAAATGTACCTGCTTCTGTGAAGTTACCTTTTCTGTTATCTTCTTGCCTTGATACTCCCAATCCAGTTCCACTGTGTTTCCCACCCATCCGATATCTTTTCTGTTTTTACTTTGCTGATCTTGTTTTTATATTCCCTTTGTTGAATTTTAATACACATACCTGTTATTGTACATTACTGTATTAGAAAATTCAAATATAGGTAAGAATAATTAGGGCTTTGAGGTAATTTCAGTGATTCTGTTCATGTTAGTGGGGTAGGGAAGACAAGCTGCACAACTTGTAATTGCAGGTTGTTGACCTGACTATTTGCAGCCTTTTCATGACAGACTTTCACACAGCATTACATTACACAGCTGAAAAGGCACAACAACAAGCAATAATGAGCTGTGGCTATTTAAGTAATTATATTATGCACATTATGTATTTCAATAGAATATACATGTTCTATCTATCTATCTATCTATCTATGATACATGTTATAGGTGTCAAAAGTAACTAATAAAGAAATGTCCATTTAATAGTAAATAAGTCATTAGAAAGACATAGAGCTTTAATTCTGTCATTCAGTAACAATACCATAGAACTCTGAACCAAATTTATTCCCTTCTCACAATTGAATCTCACACCTTTTACAGACTAACTGAATTGGTTGTGGTGAATGCCAAACAGAAGATCTATCCTGTTACCTGTGGTGCAAGTAGATGCCGCAGTATTTTCAGCCAGGATCTTCTGATGCCCTGCCCCTTTCTATGCTGGGTATTTACTGTCTGTTTTGAGGCAGTCACATTGGACTCTTTCTTGAAAGATAAAGAATAAATAAATGATGTTTGATGAACTGGTATCTGCAATAATTTTCTGGATCTCACTAGCTGTTTCCTGCTTCTTGAAGAAGTTGAGGCTATCCATATATAAACAAATATATTTTTCTAGAAAACCTTTGTGCTCTTCTTTCAGCTGTTAACTATCAAAACAGTAGCACTAAGTTCCTGCTTCTCAGGAACAAAATTCTTGCTGTCCAATCTCTGAAAACTTCAGCACGTTTAGCTTTTTTCTGCTGCATCACACTTGGCCACTGCTGACTGTCTGCCCCTCAAAAAACATGGCTGGGTGCAGCCATCCTCCTAAGCTCCTCACTTGACCACCAAAAGGCATTGCATCTCCCGTGTTTGTATTGCCTTTGCATTTCTCTGCTTTCCTAGCCAAGTAACATTTGCAGAAGCAGCACAGTGAGTTCAGAACAAGTCCTGTAGCATGTATCTGAGCTTTCAGCTATCCCAGGAAGGTTTTCCTCTAGAAATGTGCAGGGAATCTGAGGACAGGAGTCAATCTCAATAGGCTCAGAGAACCTGGGCTCTAAACTGGATCCAGGTGACTGGATGTGGATTTGCCTACTTTAAAATAGTTAAAGGAATACAGTTAGGCTTATGCAAATGACCCCTTACCCTGGGGTTCCTACCTGTGGACATCCATGACATTGATATTGGAATGAAGGAAGTGGGGCAAGGCATATATTTCTTTTAACTGTGGGTCTGGTTTTACAAAGGCAAAACAAGAATCAATTTGAAATCTATTCTGTATCTTGACTTTTGCTGACCTTACCACATGTGTTGCTGGAATAAGAAGGAGGGTTGCTTTGTTTACAGTCAAAATGGCTTTTTGTAATACTGATACAAATATTTAACACTAGTATTATCATGAATTCCTTTTTATCCTTTAAGTGTGCCTGTTAACACCCAAGAAATGTTAAACAGTATGCCTTAGAATTTGTCCAGGGCATTTCTCATTATTGGGTGGCTTTTTGCTTAATCTCCTAATCCCTGCTAAAACAAGCATATACTAAATTTAATAAGTCATTTCAAGCAGCCAACTGTATATTCAGCGTATGTAAAGTTTATCTTGTGCAGAATTATTAAAGATAGCAAATTGCTCAAGTGAATCCCCATGTGTCACAAAAGATCGCAATCCACTTTAATAGACACATCATTTTGTTGATTGGGCACTGTGGGTTTTATTTGCCACTGTGGTACATGCAAGTGTGAAACACATTATTTAAAGTCTAGAGAGGTGGGTGGAGAATTCACTTGGCAGCATTTCACACATACTTTGCTTGGGTGTAAATGAGAACATAAGACACAAAGCAATGGATAATGGAATCCTATTTAACATTTACAAAAATGGTAGCTCTCCAGAGAGCCCTTGAGGTAATAAAAAATGGTGCTTTAAAATGACAGCCACAGCCAATAGTTGCAGGTCTGTTTATAGATAAGTAGTCAGCTGAATAAAAGTAGTTTACTGCTTACTAATGTCAGGTGTTAACATTAACTGTAACACATGAAACTCTTAAAAAAGCACATATTGGCTTCCAAATAATCCCAT